ATTCTTCCAAAAAAAAACCCTGCAACTGATTTTACTTAGCCCACTATTCCTAAAACTCAACATTTGGGAAAATTGCTGTTTTTTCACTAGGTGTAAAGTAGTGTTTGCATTTAGCAACCACTTAAGCTCTCTGCTTTGGTGTACTGCGTTCAGTTGAAAATGCAGTTTACATCCGTATCTAGTAGGGTGTCTAAATATTAGATTACTTCTGTCTCATCTTCTGCCCTTGTACTTGCTGGGTTTTTTATGGGGATTGAGAAAGTATTGATGTGAGCTGGTAATTCTAAACTGTAAAGCTGTAAAGGGAACATGTTTTAAATATAACTTGAACTAGATGCAAGAGGTCTGTTAAGTTTTTCAAAGGAAAAGGCTGTGTCATTCAGGCCTTTTGGCTAGCTCCTAAACCACAACACTCCTGTATATTTGTTTAGAAATATACACCCTCATCCATGTAGTATCTAAGTATATTTCAGAAGTACATTAAACATGCTAAATCTGCAAAAAGCGGTTCATTCTTTCCTTGACAGCCTCATGCTATTTTGAGTGCGTGTTGTTTGCATTGTATTTTTGCTAGCAAGCAGATGTATGTATGTATTTGAAAGTTATTGTAGATTTTAATTAATATTTGAGATTTTCATTCTACAGTTGTGAGCAACCCTTCCTGTAAAACTGACTTGGATGGCTCTGCTGCATGGTTGCACTGGATTTGTCTGCTGTCCTTATTGCAGAAAATAATTTAATCTGTTTTTAAATATCCATGAACCAAGTCTGTAAGTCCTGAAAAATAAACACCGAAATGTTGAATTTGGACACACTTTAAAGATGCAATGAGGAATTCCTTTTGTAGCTGATGACAGGCTGCCAAATTCTGCTCTTAATAAAGGCTTTCTTAGGGCTGCCTGGCCATGTTGATTGTGTACAGCTCAACTGTAAAGGCAGTGATTTTCCTTTTGCCATATATAGTAGTAACTGACTCTAACTATGCGATAAACACATAATTTTGTTAGAAAGGGAATGGTCTCAATTTGGTTCCGAAAAATTGTCTGTAGATGCAGCCAGGCAGCGTTTTTGCTTGAGAGTGCTGCCCCTATGCAGGAAGTGATTAATTTTTCTTGTTCCTCATCTGGCCAGTCAGTCTATCATTTTTTTCTGTGTACTTAAGTTTTTAACTGTTTGGTTTGTTTGACAGAAAGCATAGTGTAGTCATGACTCTTTCTACTATGTGCTGTGGTATAACAAATAAGCTTGGAAAGGATATGAAATTGATGACTACAATGCACTTACTTTTAGTTTACTTCCTGAATTTTTATTATTCCTGAAGTTGCAGTCTAAACTGCTTAATTTTCACGTGAGAGACAATTTTAATACTTAAAGATAGAAAAGCTTTACTATTTAAGTAGAAGAAAACACCACCAGAATCCAGCTTGTCTAACTGCATTTTCATTTATCACCTCAGTCATTTGAAGGGGAGATGTTGGGCACTTAAAAAAATAGAATTAATTTTGGTTGTGAGTTAATTTCTTTGTAGTTCTGTCCAGTGTGCTCATTAGATAAAGCACATTGATATCTTGGGAGACTTGGTGGCAATTCAAATATACTTAACTCCTTATCAAATATACTTAGTTCTTTATTGCCGAAGAAAAATACAAATTACTATGGATTACCTAGAAAGAAGATTCCTGACGTTAAGTTGTTTTATTTATTGTCCACATCTATTTTGTCCATTTGGACATAATGGTATGATAAACTGGATACTCTTATTAGAACAAAAGGTTATAGCAGATGGCAAGAAGACAATATGAAATAAATGTTACGTTATTTTAATTTTAACCATAATCCAATAGGATTTTATAGTATGCATTCTTTGAGGAGCATTCTGATGTATAGTAAAGTATACTGTCATATTTTAAAATATTATACCAAACTCATTTTTCCCCCTTTCCACTTTTGATTTCATATTTTTTTAACTTGAAAAATAGAGGAATCTGTAATTGCAACTTGTTTTGAAAGGTACTAAATACAAATGCATTGACTTTTATGAAGTATTGATTGTTAAATGGTCACAATCTGTCTTGAGATAACTTGCATCAAAAAGGCTGGAATAACTAATCCAAAGGAAGATTCTCAAGTGAAAGAAACCTCCTTAGGCCTTTTGAAGGGAGAATATGTTTTGAGAGGAGATGTTCAGCAAATGAGTGGTGTGCTCTGATGACACGAAGCTCATTTTACTTAAGCATGTTGTGGAAACTAATTTTTTGGCATACATCTTAATATGTAATTTTTTATATAACAAGTTGGGCCATAATTCTTCCCTTCTTGGTGACGACAAGTCAAAATGAACTGTTACTGAACTATTAAAATGGTAGGGAAGGCTGGGTAGCAACTGATGGTGTCAATTTACATTGGACTGCAAATGTAAATGGATTTTCAATCCCATTTCTGAGACTTGAAGTGGTGCATATCCATAGGTGGTTTTACAGAGTCTGCATCCAGCATCTCTTGTTAGCTTGTGCTTGGGGCCAAGACTGGAGGACTTGAGAGAGCATGTATTTCAAATGGCATTTAATTGTCTTCTCAGGAGCCCTGAATTTATTAATTTGGGCACTGTGCTGTCACTGAGATGCAGAACCGTCTTGGGATTTGGTGCTTTCCTTGGTCTGTTAGCTCACTTCCAGCTTGAGGGAATATCAGTACAAACTTCCCTGATTCTTGAAGAGTGGTGGGTGAGTGAGTGTGTCCTATGGAAAATACAGATGTTGGACATTACTCCTTTAGATTATTGGCTGTTCATGCTAGTTCAGCGGCAAACATTGGACTGTATTATCCCAAAAGCGTTTGCTGTCTTAAAAATCCATTCAGTGACATGTCAGAACTTATTAACAATAGAAGGATTGACTAAAAACTTGCAATACTTAATGTCAGGTATAATTTTTCCCATTGGATTGGCTTTTTGTTGCTTTTTGGGTTATTGCGTAAAATATACTTAGTCTTAGTAGGCGGTCTCACCAATTTGGTGTTTTGCTGTTATGAAGAAATCTGTTTTGTTAATAGTTCTGAGGTTTTCCCTATAAAATACTTTAAAAATCGTAGCTGTAGGCATTTCAGGTTTGTTTTCACAGTAATACATGAAATATTGAAGTTTAACAAAATTAAGTTATCTGTGTCTAGAATGTAAGTTGTAGAATAGATAAATTGACCATTCAGTTTTCATGAAAACAATACTTTTGATGATTTTTAAATGCATGGAAAGAAGCTATCAATGTGTTTGTTTTCAATGGGATAGATTTAATAGGTCTTTTCCATCTTGAACTTCCTTAAGCTACTATGAAAATTAATGACATTTTGAAGTATTCATATTAATGACCTCAGCTTGACTTCTAAAAGCAGTAAGAGATGGGTTTCTTCAGAAAAGCAGTTTAGAAGACTAACCATTTTTTCCTAATGGAAGGAACTATTCAGAAAAGTTTTAAGTTCAGAGATAAGCATAGCATACATACAGGTAAAACCATTTTTAAAAACTGCTTTCAATAA